GGAGCACTGTATCAGCGGCTCCTGGGGCAGGTCAAACGTCCTGAGTTGGCGCAGGAAGTACATCCTCTGCTGTCCCTTCCTGGTGATGGTCCTGATGTTGGACGTCCACTTCAGGTCCTGGGAGATAGTGGTGTCCCGCAGGGGTCAGTATTGGGCCCCAAACTATTCAATCTATATATTAATGACATATTTAATGTTTCACAGTTACTTAAGTGTGTTTTGTTTGCAGATGACACCAATATATTCTGTTGTGATGATAATTATGATACACTCATCAATGTTGTAAATACCGAATTAAGGAAGATTAAAAAATGGATTGATAGTAATAAATTATCCTTAAACTTAGTTAAAACTAAAGCTATACTATTTGGTAATTATAAAACAAAGATGGAAAGGATGATTGAGATAGATGGGATACAAATCGGAAATGTTTCGGAAACAAAATTCTTGGGGGTTACTATAGATAATAAACTAAATTGGAACTCTCACATCAGACACATAGAAACTAAAGTTTCTAAAAGTCTTGCAATAATAAATAAAGCTAAATATGTCCTTGATTATGAGACACTTCATACCCTGTATTGTTCTCTGATTTTACCATACTTAACTTACTGTGTTGAAGTATGGGGAAATAACTACAATAATTCAATACAGTCACTCATTATCTTACAAAAAAGGGATATGTGTATCATACACAAGGCTGAATATCTTGAACACACAAATCCACTTTTTCTCAAATCAAAGTTATTAAAAATACAGGACCTTGTTAAAATCAACACAGCACAACTTTCATTTTACAGCATTTCACAACCTATTACCTGCTAACATACAAAAGTAATTCATGCAGTGAGAGCAGTTGTATAGTTTGAGGGGCTATGGGTACTGCACATTGACCTGTAGTGCCGTCCAGAGGGGAGGGGTTTGTAGGAATCTTCTCCACTCTCCTTTTGACTTGTGAGGTGTATAGGTCCTCCATGGAGGGCAGGCTTGATGATCTTTTCTACAGTCCTGACTGTCCACTGAAGTCTGTACTTGTCCTGTTTGGTTGCTGAGCCAAACCAGACAGTGATGGAGGTGCAGAGAACAGACTCGATGATTCCTCTGTAGAACTGTATCAGCAGCTCCTGGGGCAGGTTGAACTTCCTGAGCTGGCACAGGAAGTACATCCTCTGCTGTGCCTTCTTAATGATGTTGGATGACCACTCCAGGTCCTGGGAGATAGTGGAGCCCAGGAACTTGTAGGACTTTATTGCTGATACAGTGCTGCCAAGTATGGTAAGTGAGGGGCAAGGTGGGAGGGCTCTTCCTGAAGTCCACTGTCATCTCCACTGTTTTGAGCGTGTTCAGCTCCAGGTTGTTGGGGCTACACCCCAGGACCAGCTGCTCAACCTCCCGTCTGTAGGCTGACTTGTCACTGTCTCAGATGAGACCAATGACCGTTGTGTCATCAGCAAACTTTAGGAGCTTGACAGAGGGGTCCTTCGAGATGCAGTCGTTGGTGTAGAGTGAAAACAGCAGAGGGGAGAGCACACATCCCTGGGGGTCACCTGTGCTTATTGTCTGGGTGCAGGATGTGGTTTTCCCCAGCCTCACCTGCTGCTTCCTGTCTGTCAGAAAGCTAGTAATCCACTGACAGGTGGGGGCAGGCACAGTGAGCTGGGTCAGTTTGGAGTGGAGGATTTCCGGGATGATGGTGTTGAACGTCGAGCTGAAGTCCACAAAGAGGGCCCGTGCGTACGTCCCTGGGGAGTCGAGGTGTTGCATGATGTAATGCAGTGCGACGTTCAATGCATCGTCCACTGACCTGTTTGCCCGGTAGACGAACTGCAGGGGGTCCAGCATGGGGTCTATGGTGTCCTTCAGGTGGGCCAACACCAGTCTTTCAAAAGACGAGATGTCAGGGTGACAGGTCTGTAGTCGTTCAGTCCACTGATGGAAGGTTTCTTGGCTATGTGATTTTCAATTTCACTCAAGTACAGTTGGGTAGGTTGATCACAGTAATGAATGGTAATTATAAATCAAATACCTATGATATGTCAGAGGTTTGTTTTAAAAACATAGAGGCCTAAAATAACTTAATAATTACATGAGTCACCATGCCACTCAGCAAAAACACATCCACAGTGTGGCTATGTACATGTAATATTTTTGGCTCACAAGGGGAAAAAAAACACTCTGTGTCAAAGTTAATGTTTTGTTCATCTGCCCAAGTAAAGGTCTGACAAGAAGGAACACAGTCATTACCACTGGCAACCATAACTTTTCACCTCAGCGCTGACGGCTTCCCTGACTGCAGCACTACTATCTGATTCCCATCCAACCATGGTGGGACAGGCGGCACAGACACATAAACAAACAGGTAAGTAAGTAAAAAAACAAACAAAAACAAAAAACCCACAAATATACAGCAGATCCACTTATATATACTGCACAAACAAGAAGCAGAAGCACATACAAACTCTGTCTGCGTGTCTCGCTTCTCTCTTTTTCTCTGTCCTCAGGTATATGGTCTGTTTGACACAGTCTGCGAGTCTGCTGCCACGCAGCACCACATTTAGATCTGCCAGAAGTGGGAGACTGCAGCAGAGCACAGGTAGGGGGTTATTAATGGCCTTCCTTATTTTAAACGACAGTCTGAAAACACCTTTGGCACCATGCATACCCTGCTAGCTGCAAGCTTGTCTTTCATCTCATCTGTCTTCACAGCATTCAGTCTCCTTGGTCCTAATGGGCTCATGGTTGTTGCTCTACCGGGTTGCTCCTAATGCACCTTTGTCTGTCTGGTGGGTCACAAATGAAGGCACACGACAATCTGTCACTATCAAATGACATGTTGGATCTCCTCCTAAATAATTTGTTGTCAGCCTTTTTTTTTCAACTAACAACATTTGATAATATATTAAACTGCTCCTGCACCATTTAATTTTATGAAACTTGTATTTTATTAAGTTAGGAAAAAGATAAGAAATTCTGCAGATATTAAACTTATGGTGACAGCTTTCACATTACCTTGCTTCCCTTTCCTCTGTCCCCTGTGTTGTCCCTTTCACTCTCCTCCTCATCCTTTTGCATTTCATTCTTCAGAGCACACCCTGCTGTGAATCACTCTGCAGTCACTTCTTTTACAGAGCTCAGTCAATCACAGATGATTACGGGGTCATGTAAATGCATTGTGTCAGAGCATAAATGATTGTGTGCAAGCATGTATTTGAATTTGATGTTGTGTTTCATGGAGACTGTGTTTTGGGGTAAATGTACTTTCAGAGGTAAGTAACATAGGTTTTTACCCTCCTGCAGGCACAACACACACAATATCTCCCTTTCTTCCATAGTTCACAATCAGTAATTTGTTTTCCATAGGTTGGGGGCCAGCATGCATGTAGCATGTACCATGTGTGCAAAGACATTTACTAATGAAGATGTACGGTGTAATATGTCATTATGATTCCCACATACACCTGTAAACATATAGATAACAAAAGCACCCAGAGAGCGCATGTACCTCTGCCAAGGCACAACATTCACTCAGCCTAATGGGGCCCTTGTTAAAAATGAGATCCAGAACAACACTAAATGTGTCCTTAAATTCTTGACCCAGATTGGATCCAGATCATCTATGATAGGCAATTATACTGTGCATCTTACCTGAACATTTCGGGGTTTTATCTTCACTAATAGGTCAAGTTATGGAGGAAAATATGTGTTAAATGGCATTTTCAATGTTAACTTTAAATGGCCTCAGACATGGAAAGTGGATCAGATCCAGATGAAATTTGGTCTGGTGATAGACATTGTCACACTACAAATGTGTGTCAAATTTCAAACAAAAAATGATTTTGATAATATTTGACAGAAATGTGAATTGTTCTAACATATTTTGCCCCATGTTAAAGATGGGAATTTGGGGGATTTTTGTGATTTTTGTTTCATTATTTTTTGTGACCTTGACCTTTGACCTTTTTTAGGCAAACTCTATTCACTTCTAGAGTTGGTCCCCACCAATCCATCCAGCCTTTAATCCTGCACACACACACAGAACCAAAAACATAACCTCCTTAATTAAGACAGGTAATTGCTTTAACGAGAAGTGCATTTACTCTATGGTGTCACTTTTCTGTCACCATGCCAGTGGCTGTATATTCAACCCATCATGTAAGGTTTAGAATTTGTCAGGAGAATAAGAAAGACTGGCAGCTCAAGTCACATCCTATTGCTGACCTCCAAACACCATAACACATTTGGACATGGGGTATGGTGGAACCCATTTCGTTCAAAATCTAATGACGATTGACAACTCTACTCCCTGGTGACTGAACCTAAGAGGAAAACTGGAACATTTAATATCAAATGTTTCTGGCCTCCAAGGTGTGAGTGAATAACCAGTATGGATTTTAGGGAGGGGGTGCCACATCCTTCATCTCAGTAGTGCAGACTTCTCCATAAAAAAACCTACCACTCCATAAGGTACTTTGATCTTAGCTGTTTTGGCTCTTATCTGCTGGGTTACTGCAGTACCATTGAGGTTTTAGTGGTGATTGTCAGCTTGAATATGAGGATGTTATGATGCACATCAGATGAACTGTTCAAAAATCACTTACAGTTTTCTGTGGACATGGTTCCCCAGTTTCAGAATGCCAATATTCAGACAATTTAAGATATACTATGTGCAGCTTTTTCATATGTAGACTATTAAGAAAACATTTACACTCACAGGGTCACCGTCTGCAAGAAAATATTATTTACTGTATGTGTTCTTTTTTAATACATGATATTCCATCTAAGATGAACTGAATCTGAGGCAGTGTGGTGTGTGAACTTGGGATAATTTAGTACAGGTAAACATATGCCTGAGTTATGATCATGTTACTCAGAAAAAAAGCTTCAAGAATAGAAATTAATATGCGGCACACCTACATCCATCACCACAGATTTACAGCAGGCGATTCAAGACTAATATTGCTCTGAAAGAGACATTTGTCAATTTCTAACATAAATTTTACATTAGCAGTTTTGGAGGTAGTGGCTTAAAGGGCATTAAGAATAGATAACGATTGAAAATCCAAATAAAAAATATATTCAGTTATATAGTGCAAAATACCTTCATCCAATGCATCTGAGAAATATCAATTCCTCAAGCATATGTCTGCAAAAAAAATATGGTGGTTGTAATATTTTATTGCAAAATGAATGAATTTTTCCTAACAACTTGAGGTAGGAAAAAATACAAGTAATGCACAGAGAAACAGTGACAACAATGCAATTAAATCATACTATAATGAGCTGGTAAATATAGCTGACTTACAATCACTATTCCCCAAGATACAGTATGAAATAAAAGAGATACTACTTCTGTTTATCAGTGTCATGGAGATGAATTGATATGACCTAAAAACACCCTTGGTTCATCCAGTAAAATGCAAAATGGAATGAAGTTGGGCACATAGGTTTTTGTTTGTTTGTTTTTTTAGAAAATGACACCTCTGAGGGATGAGTTCACTTCCTGACCTGCAGGTAGTTTTAAGTAAACCACATTATCTGTCAAATCAAACAACAACAACAACAAAAAAACATACTGGCAATAATAATAATAATACAAAACACATAGAGCAGCATTCTTTATAAATCAGTTTGATATATAGAACAATCATATAAAAATAAATGACTAATCTGTTCCCCAATCATTAAAAAAGTATAAAATATGACCAGAGCACCAGTAAAAATGTGCCAGACAATAACATATTAATCCTTAGTACCCTTATAATGTATATCATAGGACTTCCACGTATTCATACACAGCTATTTGTTAAAAAGGGAAGACAATGACACAAATGTAATGCTAGTAACTGATATAGAAAATTAAATATTAGCAGACTGTTCAGAGATATTTACAGTTTATAAAATTTCCTGCTAAAGATAACAAAATGAAAACTATGCAAGGGAGTACAGTCAGATCCTTGTTGTGTATGGGTCAAGTTTTTGCAGCTAGATTTACACTGTCATGGAGATGACCTCTAGCCCCTCATGTGTAGCAAAGCCATAAACATTTCAGTCACTGAGTTTGACAACAGGCCTTGATTGCTGCATATTCAAAAGCTCAAGCATGCATCCTGCTCGGAGCCCCTCTGGGCCACTCACATCACAGCGAACACCCGGAATGCCTTCCCTCCAGGAGAGTTGTGAAGGCTACAGGGAAGAGGGAAACAAGAGGGAGAGTCGGTCTGAGTGCGGCATGTCAGACAAAGAAGGTGTCCCAGGCTTTTATAGAGACACAGATGACAAACACATGCTAACAGATAAACCTCGAGATTTAAACAGATATGTCTATGTCAGTGATGTCTGGCACACTGATGACAGATAGGACACAAACAGCTCCCTGAGAAAACAGATAAACCACCTATTTATACACAAACAGAGGACTTAATATGTCTGAAATTAAAGGATACAGATAAATGATGGGCAGATACAACAGATGAAGATAAATGCAGTGTGGAAAGACAAGGGAAAGGAGGGTGAGGACAGTTTGTGTGTTGAGGGGTGCAGAATAAATGAAAATGTGTGTGTCTGTCCGCTACATACAACAGGTTCTGCTAACAACAGTCATTCTGCCTAAAGTTGTGATAATTTATTATCTCTAAAAACAGGAACAGGCTACTGAGGATGTGGGTCAGTTTTAGCTGTGAACAGAGGCTGGTACGGAAACTGCAACTTTAATGCTGCTGTGAACTGGTGCAGCACTGATTCAACACATGCTCAGAATTTGTAGGATTACTTGGCAAAAACAAGCTTATGTCTTCATTAACAGTTACATGTAATTCTTTCAGTTACTGAAGACCCATTATGTAGTAAGATGGCAACAAACTCCTCTAGTCGAGTAATAAACACTGTTCAACATCAGAGACAGGCATCAAATGTTTGCAATATGTCTCCTAATCCAACAAAGTCAAACCTTTTCAGTCTTCTTAATGCAGAAGAGCAACAGTATGTGAAGAGATTTGAATTTGGTGAATACTTTCTTACCTAATGTAAGCTTCTTAACATTACATTATAGCCACTGTACAAGCCAATAACATCTCTTGTTTCCTACTGTATTAACATGAGGCACCAAACTCTTATCCCTACTCTCCACAGTTGACAGAAAACTAGTACAGTATGGTGAGATCAGTAAAAATAAATTCCAACCTGAACCATACCAAACAATAACAGGCATTGGTTAGCTTTGTTTCTAGCAGATCAGCCATGAGCCAACACATACCTCTCAGAGAAAATGCCATTTTGGTATGAGGCAATGTAGTGTCTCCGTTTGTCCACTGGCATCACATCAATGTATCCACCGGCATCGTTCCTGATGACTCCAGCGTGAATTGCTGCCGAGCATATACTAGACTTCTACAGGGGAGAGATAACATGAGAAATGTTGATTAAATTATTAATAAACATGAGGAGGTTTTCAGCCTTCAAAAGAGGTGCTCACATCAGAGTATATCCTGGTGCCAATTACTCTGGATATGTGAGGGTTGTCTTCTAAACAGCCTCTTGGGCAGTATAACCTACAAAGAGAAAAAAATGGACAAGGGCAATGACTAGAATCACATAAAAGTGCGCACCTTGTGAATAAAAATAGTTTGTGGTCGGGCAGATGCGTAGTCAGATTCCTACCTTGGACAATGCTTTGCAGGTTTTTGGTAAGGACACAGCTGGGCAACAGTGGTCTCACATGTGATGGCTTTGACTGTAGGAAAGAAATACAGTCAGTGCCCAGGAACACAGCTTTTAGTAAGAGATTCAATATCATAGTTAACATATCTATAATTACAATGTCGCATTATTGTCAAACTAACCCACGACTCTGGAAACTGTGAAGGAATTAGCACTTCGATATTTTCTGTCAAGAAGGAACACACAACATGGACACGAGATTATTGTGAATATATTTTACCAATCCTTCTATCAATTATCATCTGTATACATTTGTGATGGTGTTTTCTATTAGCAGTGTCTCACCCTAAAGACTGGACTCCATTCTTGCTGGATTTGATAAAAAAGTCCTTTCTGCCTTGTCTTGTTACATCCATCCACCCTCCATCATTATCTATGACACCGGCATGTAGACCAGCTCTGCACACACTAGATTGCTGCAAAAAAAGAACATTTTATGATTTTTGCATTGCAGGTACTTTGCTGATACACTAGTAAACAAGTGGCTGCGTGGATGCCTTGCTGAATTTTGAATTTGACAAAACACATGGCTGTTAATTGGTTTAATACTGAACAGAACTGAAGCCATCTAATCTGATAACACTGTTTGTCAGTCTGTGGACTTAATAGTACACATTAAATTGTGTACTCACCATTTCATAGTATACTGTCCCAACTACTTTTCCTGTAGCATCTAGGCATCCAGCTGGACACTCATACCTGTACATTATTGCAAATATTATGTGAAAATGTATATTTTTATGTTGTTGTTCAATGTTTTTATATATTTAGTCTTAACTGTACCTATTACATGTTGTTCCTTTACACTGATCTCGAAGTTTAGTGTCACAGGTCACGAGCTGAGCTGAAGCACACAAACATAAAGGCCTTTCAGTACTTTTACAGGAAACAACATGCATGAATTGTCTGCTCTGATGCAGATGACTAGCCTCCAAAAGCCTGTGTTGAGTGAAACTCAGCGAAGGCTATTGATGTGATGCTTCAAAAACTGCAGAGATTCCAGCAACAGGGTTCAGGGTGGTGAGCAACACTGCAGGAAGCATCTCAGATTACAAGCCTAGGCCCCTTGCATTGCAGAGAGGAAGCCATTTAAAAACCACAGTGAGCCTTTCTTATCCTTTGCTGTCAGCCAAAAGCAACACACACTCAAGGGATCCTGCTAAAATAGATTCCCTTGCCTCTCCTAAGACAGACCTGCAATTTTAAGTACACTTCAGAAACTGTCTGAGTTAATCAGGGAGATGACAGATAAAGGCTACAGAACATCAAGGCAATTTATAATAAACTGAAAGAAAACATTTCCGGTCAGAGCCTGTTTTTTGCACTTATCCATTACTGGTTAACAAAAAGCAAGTAGCTCTTCGCAATTTTTTTTGGTTGTGACCCGATTTTGAAAAGCAAAGTTTTCTTTTTCTTTACAGTAGATACTGTCCTACAGTATGTGTTTTTTTTTTTTTTTTATCACTCTCTGCCTCTCCAATCCCTAAAACCTGATCCATTTTAAGATGGATCTAAATCCAGAATAAACAATTAAATGACAGCTTACACATCTGCTGTGTGTTGACCACTTCATTATTCTGCTGGTCTTCCGTAGGGGGCCTGGTGGGGCCTGGGGCAGGGAGACTGGGAGGCTCCGGATTGGAGGCCCGGGGCCAGGGCTTCTGTGGAGTACGTGGGGACTCCGGCTCAATGAAGTTGTTTTCTTCGTGCTCCTCTTGTTGAGGATAGGAACTGTCATCTTCAAGTAAAGTCACAAAAATTGTATATAATAGTAAGTAATTCTGTGACAAATTATGAGACAGTGGGCTCTTGGGCACAGATATGTAATGCTGTCCTGTACTGTAGTCTGTTTGCATATCTTTATATTTCTCTATTTTGTCCAGGTATACCTTTGTAGCAGAGGTTGTCTTTGCAGCCTCCTCCATAGCTGGGGGGGCAGGCAGAGCATGGTGTCCCATGTTTGTAAGGTGCATGGCCCCACCAGTTTCCCCTGTTAAAGTCACATACAAGTAAGGCTTGTGACATAAACAAAACATAAATTACTGAAACAAAACTGATAACCAAACTTGAACTACAAGAGAGAAAACTGATACTGGCAAATGACACTGTCACATTAAGATGAAATAAAAGCATATTTAAGGTTGTTTTTTTTGCAGCATTTATGTCAGTCAAGTTATGGGAAAAGTGCATCACAAAAAATGCTCTTACTTGGGTGAATAGTTGCAGACAAGATAGACAGATTTGGCCCAGATCTGTCCCCACACGTTCATGTCGTAACACAAATTGACAGCACAGCCGATCCGACTGCTGGTGGCCCAGACAAGCTACAGATGAATGACATGACAGACACTAAACACACATTTCAGTAAAGATTGTACTGCCTTAAATTAATAAAGTCTTCAAAATAGTGAAATGAAAATGACATAACCCAGACCTAACTACCTGTGTGTAATGAGTACAAACTGGGCCAGAGCATCTAAAGGGGCAGTAAGGGTTACACTCCTGAGGGTAAGGGAAGGAGTAGTCCTTCACTTCATCATACCAGGCCTGCACATGGAACGTGGGTGGACGATACCTGGAGAGATGTCAGCTATGATGACATAGTTCACAACAATTTAATCAAAACAAAGGGTTGCTTGGTGTCTGTCATGAAATTAAACACACACACACACACACACACACACACACACAAAGACAAATTTGACTTCTAAGGCCTTATATGTTTTCAGCAAGGCAAATTTTGCCCTTAAACTTTGATAACAGAAACCTTTACATATGTGTTAAATGTGTATACTGAATTACTGTCTACCTTCCCCAGTGCGCTCCCAGGTTCTGTCCGATCTGTGGCAGTAACCCAGCAGGGCCATGCTCCCACAAACAGGTCTCAGCCCACTCCTCTGCTGTACGCTCCAGTTCTGTGTCCCACACCTACACAGAAGATAAAATAGAAAAAAGGTAGATATTGGATTATATATAACCAGTGGAAAAAAATAGATCCAATGCAGTACAGTGTCTTTTATATAACTACTAATTGGCCATACAATACAGGAATGTCTAGTGGATAACTGGAAATATTCTCTGCTATACAGGGTTTGTAGAGCTGTCAGTAATGTGATGTCATGTGTTACCTAAACAGTCACTCACACTCTTATCATGTGCCATTAACTTAAGACTAGAAGATGCCCAAACTAACTACACTGATTCATAAACTAAATGCAGAACTACAATATGTAGTATTCACCAAGTGCAAATGCTGTTTTTCCTTAATGCCTTCCATATGTCTCTGGTGAGATATCTGGGTTACCTTCCTCTAAATCGTCCACTCAAGCTCAGTTTGGATAATATGGGATCATATTCCCATTTTAGGGGTTTTATTCGTTCCAGCTGACCTACATCCTACTATGAAATGGTTTAAAATAACACTCACTCTAAAGGACACTGTATGTTCCTTTAATTGCACACCTTCTCTTTAACCTTCAGTACGGGATGTCTAATGTAACAGGTATCTATGAGAAGGTCGATTCATTTCCGTGTGGGTGCATAAATATATGGGCACGTGCATTAGCACACCAATGGAGTTGTCAGCAGTTTTCACATGTCACATGTTATAACCTGAAATCTCATCACATAACATGTACTAAAATAACCCCCCCTCTTCCACCACCCTTGTCTCCTCCTCAATTGCCCGTCACGCCACCAGAAACAACGTCAGTTGGCTGTGAACAGCAAATCAGTGGCAGTGTGTAAGTACTGTCATATCTAGTTTCTGGCACCACAATAGCTAATACAACAATAACAATGAAAACTAAGCCTGGTCATCATCAGTAGGGGGAGACTGCTGAAGAAACCTTGACACTTTTGCTTTCGATTTTCTCAACAAGTGACCTCCTCGCACTAAAAGAATCCGTTTTTACACTGACAAGCAGGCCGAAACAGATTTCATTTGTTTGTGGTGACTGCCAAATGATATTCAGAATTTGAGAGGGTTACCATGGTGTTTACAACCATTATTGTTGTCTGAACTCAGCTCCTGTCTCCGTTGCTCTGTACCTGATCATCTGGTTAGTTTCCTTGACTCATGTTTTTCTGTTGGGCACATAAGTTTGGACTTTGCCTTTATCTTGCCTATGGACTCAGTAATTCCTGAATGAGTCTACCTTTTTGTTTCACCTCTCTTGGAGATTAGGTTTTGGCTCCCTGACTGTTTTAAGATTTTAGTTTTCTGTACCTGTGGAGTGAAGCCTGGTCAGGTTGAGCACATAGTTTTTCTTGCCCCTTTGTCCCTCTTTAGTTTTATCAAACTAAACACTACACTCCAGACCTTGTCTGCATTTTGGGTCCTTCCTAGCCTGAAAACCCTAACAATAGTGTGTGTTGAAGAATGTTGCTGGTTATCAATCAGTTCTATCACAACGATGTAATTTATAATGAACCAGAGTGTGATAACTGTCACTAAAATCATTAAATTGTTTTTGTTTTTTGCTAGAACCTACAAAGAATGAAGTCCGATGACACATTTGCTCCCCCTGGGTATGGATGAGACCAATCTTGCACAAATCTGTGGACAGATGTTCTGCCATTCTTCACAGATTACTCTTTGCTAGTTTTGACACAGTGCCTTCAGGCTTAAACAAAAAAAACTCCAAAGGTGTTCTATTGGGGAAATACTTGGCCAGGACATAGTTCCCATGTTTCTTCTTTAAAGGCTCTTGTGATTCTTGCAGTGTCCACTGTTATGGTGGAATGTTCCTCTCCTGCCAAGTTTAATCTTGCTGTTTTGGGACATTTTGTGAGCAGTGGTTTCCTTTTTGGATGCTGTCCATATTGAATACTTCATGTAATGCCCTTCACACTGTCTGATCAGTCACCGAAACGCCTTTTTCCAAAGATAAGCCTTGTGCCAAGTCGGAAGCACTTGTGCGTGCCGCCATTTCTCAAGGACAGTGAGTTCCTATATCTCCTAACTGCTGCTGCTGTGTTTTGGCTTATGTTCAGTAGCCTTCATATGCTCTTGTCTGCTGTCTCATCTTTATGAAGTCAGTTTGGTTTCTTACTTGTTCAGCAATTCCTTATCACTGAAGCCATGTTGCATTAGACACAACCAAGACTAAAGTGAGTAAGCTGTAATATTAATAGGTCATTTTATGTCTGTTCATATAATTAGCCCCAACTGCAAATCACAGGTGCAGTCACCTTTATTGCAGTTGAACTCATTCCAACAGCCTCAAATGCTGCAGAGAAAACAGGCCTGGAACGTATCAATCAAGACATACTTTTCTGCTGTTGAATCTGGTACAGAGTGCAGCTGGCTTGTCAAGGCGCTGTTGTGTAGTTAGCCCAGCAGGGGAGGCCTCGTAACTGAGACCCCAACACCCTCCACTTACCCCAGCTGCACTTCTACTAGGGCTCGTAAAAGAAAACACCTCCCTTGCTGTGCACACAATGTTTATTTCACTTAACACTTCAATTGCAGCTGCTTTTGTTTTTCTCTTCCCTGATCACCTAGTTGCATTGCAAAAAATAGAGGGGTACTTCCTTTGCAAGTTTGTTTCCTGTTCTGCTGCATGAAGAAAAAGATGTGAGAACCTGAGAAAGTGAAGCTGAGTTACAATTAGAGAAGAGAAACAATTGCAGTATACACAAGAGAAGCTCATGAGCTGCTAATAATAAATACCCTGCACATGTCCCCATCAGTCATATTACAGGCAGTACTGACGGCAGGTACAGTCAATCAGACCACTGCATGCGAGCTGCTGTCACTAACTCAATAGTGGGGGTCAAACCCCTGAGAGCAGCTCAACTATTTTCTCATCTGTAAAAATTGGAGCATTTCATTGTGGGATTGTCTCAGCATGCAGACACCACTATAAAAAGATGGACACACTACAGGTCAATAAGTATTGAGTGATTTTGGACACCCTAAAGCCAGATTAAAGTCTTGCAGGGATGCAAAGTATCTATATTGCTGCTACCTTTCTAAATCAAGCTCATCACTGCCTCTAAAGTCCTGGAGCATTTTCTGGTGTTGCAGATCCCTTTTGCCGCATTTTTCTTTTTCCAAGTATATTTTTCATTAGTTGCATTTCAAGATTTGCCATGTGTTTCCATGATGTTTGCCTTGATATTTTTTTGCATTTGCAAGCATGTTTAATATTTGTGCTTTCACTTTTCTGAGTGCTTTGTCAATAGGGGATGCTGCAATAGATGGATAGCTCTCAATGTTATAATAGTTTAACATTTCACAGATACATTTGGGATCACTGGAATTTGCTAATTTGATCTGTGTTTTGCACCTATGCAATGTTTTTTGACTGTTCCCTGAGGTTTTCATATTGCAAGCCTTTCATTGTAAGTGAATTTGGTGAAGGTGCTATGATTACATTCTCTGCATTAAGCAGGTTCAGTGTTGTACTTCATATTAGGGCAGCTGGGTGATGTGTTTTCAGCACCTGTTTCAGATGTCCCCTGGAGTACTGGTTTTCTGGACACAGCCAGCTGAGTGAAGACCCTGCAGGAAATCTGGTCAAGACACTAGTCTGAGTTCTGAGGGGGTGTGCGGGAGAAGCTGGATAAAGTGGCTGGAGCTAAAGATATTTGAACTACGGATAAATGTTGGCTAAACTTAAGAGAACTGTATTGCTATAGACCTTATTTGTCTCACAGGGCTTCACAGCTTGTGATTCACAGCAGCTGGTAACACAATTCTGAATCATCCTGAGCAGAGAAATGTCAGTAAAGCTGTATCCTGAACTGCTAACATCGCTGACTGACCTCAGACTTGAGTGCAGCCCAGGAAAGCAAAGTTAAACATCAAGGTAGGTGGGGCCCTGTCTCCCCAGAGGACATCTGTTTGTCTTACAACACTTGAAACACTGACACTTCTGTGTTTATAATGTATCTGTGGCTCAACATTTGAGTCAGAGGCAGAACCGCTGCCCTGTACTGCAGATGCATTGAAGGGGCTATGTGTTGGATAATGACAGAATGGGAATGTAGCTAAAGGGATAAGAGCGAGGGAGATGGAGCATGAGGGCAAAAAAAATGAGGGAGGTTTGAACTGATATTATCTTGAAGTCTCTGCGGCAGTCACCGCAGAGAGTTATTTGTGTTATGGTTCAGTACAGTGGCAGATAATAGAGCTGATGGACAAATGGATATGTCAGTGTGCAAGGATTTGTGCGAGTGTGTGGGGAGAGCAAGTCTTCAACTACAGTGAAGCTATGAGGTTTCTGAAAAGTGACAGCTGTTCAACACAGACAAAAGGAAAACCACAGAAATATGGAGCCTTTTTTAAAGTCACTTTACATGTGACCTGAACAGCTGAACCTCAAAGATACAGACATCTACAGAGCTGCAAATAAACCTTGAGCACTTATTCTTACACGTCGTTTTACTTTGTACCCCTTCCAATGTCTCTATCTTTTCTCATTTCCTCTCTTTCTATTCATTTTGTCTCTGTTATTGTGACACTTGCTTTGCTGTTCTGTTTCTCACTACCTCTCCTTTCTATTTACAAATCTCCTTTATCATCTCCGCCTCTATTTTTATTTATCTACCATATTCCTTTCTAACCTTCTTTCTCATTCGCTCACCTCACGTCCTCTTGTTGCATACTTCACCCCTGGGTGGCCCTGCAGCTAAAAAAAAAACTGCCAACACTAACAGTAGAAAGGAGCTGTGCACTGCTGGCTCAGCATTTCTTCACTAAAGTGTGCCTCAACTAGAAATCTGCCAGGCAGAGTTTCACACACATGTGCATGAACACACGAACACTAGAGGTCCTTAAATCCACCCTCTTGATTATACAATTACAAAGCCCAGCAATTGCCCCCAGCAGGATCTTTTTATTTGCCTTTACTAAAGAATAATACTGCCTATTGTTCTGCAGCTCTTTAAGTGGGGATAAATGAATGATAAAGGCCTCACTGCTTTCTGCACACTATTTATTTTAACCTCCTGGTGCACTGTGGCAGTCAAGCAGTGCCCACACATGTAGCATGTTAGATGTTGCGGGATTTGGGTGAAGTGGGTGAGTTGGGGGGGGGGGGGGTGAGACAGCTGGTAAAACAAGCCCTCTTGTGCTCTGACTCCAACTGAACTGTGAAAAGTGTTCTGGCACTGTATGGACATGTGACTAACAGCCAAAATATATAATCAATAAAATGTTAATATGCATGTGATCATTGGCAAGTTGGTGGAATTCCTCTCTTCTGTGTGTGTGTGTGTGTGTGTGTGTGGTGGAGGGTGTTTAATGTGCTGTATGTGTGAAGGTGCTTAGATGCTGGCATGCTGCATGTGAGTGAGCCAAGTGGGACAAGTGCCAGGTGGTCAGGTGATCAGCATCAGTTATATGGCCCACAACTGTGCAAAACTCAGGGAGTTTAGGATGGGGTCAAAACAGTTCAACACATTATGTGTACTGCACAACATCATCCTGTATTCACCTACCATGTACTCCATGTTGGCAGCCGGGGGGTAGACCTGTCCTCTGAGCTTGTTGTGAAGGTCCAGGATGAGCTGAGCGTCACTGTCAGTAATTGCCCTTTTCCCCCTCTGCTTGGCCCTCCACCAGTCTCCATCTTCATCCAGATACTTGTCCAGAATCTGCTGCCAGCCTGTGGAGTTAGGAGGCATCATCATGGAAGTGGCTGTCTGGAGCAGCAGGAGCAGTGACACACCCTTCATCATGTGCGGGAAAACACGCCTCATCCTGGTAAGTGATAAGGATAGCGATGGTGGTGATCTTTTGAAACTCGGGTAGGATGGGCTGAAGAAGTTGTGCCAGTGCAGAAAGACAGTCTTAGTCTACAGCGTGAGCTGGAAAGAGAGCAGAGGACAGAGATTATTCATCATTATTATTCTGGAGGTAGTGTTCTGTTTCAGATTTGCTCAACTTGGGTCATTATTGAACTTTCTGAGGATGGTGCAATGGTTTGCAGTCACATTTTGTGGTAGTGTCATGGGGTTCACTGAGGGCAAGCTGACAGGCTGAGGATCATTAGTTCAAGTATGAATGAAAAGATCCTAGTGTTGAACTTTACTGAATATTTCAGTTTTTTTCCTAAATCAGGAAACGGGGAAGACAGCTTGGAAGCTGTTAAAAAGAAACATTCAAATCCCATTAATAGCTGCAATGAATGTAGTTAGGTTAAAAGAATTCTGCATAATATAGCTAATGCCTTCACATTGTTGTATCTGTATACTGTCAGTTGAACTGCAGTGTTGAGGGAGGCTGATAAAGAGTCAGTACCTAACGGAAACATGTAACAACTGCAAATGGAGTGGTATCATTTAACGTAGACTTTGGAAAAGATTTACCTTTAAAGAACTGGAATGGAGTCCGCTTGTAAAGGTCCTGACAGACATCTGGCTGTGAGAAAACGTCTGCAGCTAGAACAACAAAGTCCGCCTTCAACTAAGTTGCAGAGGTGAAGCGGTAATAATTGTCGTTGGTCATATGGTTGGTCACTCCGTTTTCACCTATTTGAAAGAGTGAGTATTCGTCTTTCTTCCTTCGGGATTCTTGCACCAAAGCTGCTAAAGCATCACCTACCTACGTTTTATCCAAGTTGGCTGCGCTTCGCCAGTGCCGCCCCTGATCACGCCTCCGCAAAGGCTGAAAACGGCCCACTCGTTCCAGCCGAGTAGTGCGGGTCCGAGCCGTGTGTGTACAGTACGAGCAGGGTTTCTTTTCTCTCCAGTGTTCTTCCTTATTCACTGTACAAATTCCTCTAGATTATTTTTCTAAATGAAAGCATTATAATGCTTAGGTTTTTTTCTTTGATACTTTAGGTTTGGGAATTTAAGATTAGCCTAAGCAATATTCACTAAAAGCCTGTTGTTTAACAGTTGTCCTCTTTTCTTGATCAACAGTGCATTACCTTATGCCAGATATGCTGCCTCTATGGGACCGTGCAGCAAAAGTGGTCTCCAGGAGACATTTGCAAGGATTAAAACACAAGCCATCTCTCTGTTGGTGCCAAACTTGTCATCACAGTTTCCCCTCCAGCTGCACAGTGCAAATTCTCTGTGTAATGAGAACACCTTTTGTCATCTGGTCATTTGCACTAGTAGATGTGACACGTGTGGACACAGTAGCTGATACCAGGCCTTGGTGCGTTTGCCTACTATACCGTCTTTGTTTCCACAGGGGCAGACACATTATCTTTGTGTTTTCCCTGATAAGCATAGTAATTCAAAAACTGGCCAAGCTGATTCTGTGCTGACATTGATTTTGGTCAGTCTCTTTTTGATTAAGTTTCCTTGTGTCTATGAGTCCCTGTTTTAGGAATATGTGTCATCACTTTCTTCCCCCAGTCAGTGGATTGAAGAAGTAAAACAACAGCTCTCTGTAAAAATACTCTAAGGGTAAAAGTTGTGCATTTCATATTGTACTTGCTGGAAAAGAATTATCTGGTAAAAGTACTTAAATTTTCAAAGGTCATAATGTCTTAATACTGGTGCAAAACGTTTTGTTGTTGCAGCTGTATAATGTAGAGATAGTTTTAATGACCTTATTTACAGTTTAGTCCACTGGTTCTAAACTAGGCCTATTCCAAAATGTCACCAAATGACTTTGAGGGCTCATGAGAAGATCAATGGGGTATGACGGATAAATAAATCAATAAATTCTGATTTGCAAAGTTGTTTTCCCTCTTATCTTTGCTTTTTGTGTAATAACTAAGTTTCAAATCATTCATTCATCTGCTATTGAATGCAGTCACACATTTAGAAGTGTTTGTGAGAGTGTGTGTATGACATAGAGAAAAAGAGTGCGTGTCTGTCTGACACTGAGAAAGTGAGAGGTGAGGCAGCAAAGGCAGTGACAGGGTGCATTTATATTTGACAGTAGGAGTGAGTACCGAGCGTGTTTATTGGTACACAGTACCTTCATAACATAAATAAAAGAGATGATGCTTAAAACATGCAATTATTTTCAACACTCAGGTTTTATGGGCTCAGTATATGAGATGAAATATTAAATTAAGTTTACAGCTGAAATACACAAAGACTCAGTGTAAGAGCACATCTCTGACCCGGAGTATGAAAAATGAAATTGTCTAGATAAAAGAAATATTCCCCATCTGCTCTGGGATTTCTGTGATTTACAGTGTGGCAATATAGGTCAGGCCATCTGTAACAGAAGAGACATTCTCCTGATTAATGTTTATCACAGTGCCTGCCAGTAAATATGCACTATTTATGCTTGTGGTACAGTAGAGGAATATAAAAGATTCACTGCTTGAACTATAGGACCGCTTGTTACCTATATGTTTCTGTCCAGCATGTGCACAAAGACACATTTTGCCATCTTTCTTTGTTGTGTCTTTCACACACATTTACTTTCCATTCTTATTCTCCTCCCTCTCTGTGTTGCTCTTTCTATCTCTTCCACACAGTTATAGTTAAGCCACAGGCCCAGATGTCCCTCCTCCATTCAGCATGTTGTCTCGCAAGAAATCCTGTGAACCCAGCAGAATGCATCAGCCACGCCTGACTCCACACCCACACATCAGTAGCCTCTGGACAGAACAGCAAAGTGCACACAAACACTTGAAGAACACTGCTGGCTCGCATTATCTGGCACATTGCTTTCTAATGGTTTTGGTTGAGCTGAATTGAGGTCAGAGTGTTGGAACGGCACCAGGGTGAGAATGGGAGTAAAGAGCATCAAGGTCATTTGGCAGACATTCTACATTGCTGCTTGTGTGATTTTGTGACATTATCAGTAGTGTTCAGCAGAAGGTTGTCTATGGTTCATTGCACTCCACCCAACTTCAGTTCAGTTTGGGCTTAATTTGCTGCCCCAGCCCCCTTGTGGTGAAGAGATGTCAATGCATCTCAGAGATACACACTACGTTTTGTGTTTGGTTTACAGGTGTTACTGTGGGAATCAAGGGCTGTAATGAGATTTTCAATGAATGTTTCCAAATGAAACTGGACAGAAAGCACTTAGTACGGTCAAATTCTCACACCAAACATTGTACGCTGCCTTGCATTAAAATGCCCTTGTGCACTTGTCTTTTCTTCATCATGAAGCCTATGCACAGGTCATGGTTGCAACATTATGCTTTCTGTTCAGACACACATTGGATTAGCTGTAATGTTCACTTTCTTTTGTGGCTTCTTTTGTAATATTTCTGCGGCAGCTCATAAGTGTAATGAATTAATTATAATTACTTTTATCATTATTATTATTATTATCTTAGCCATTATGCTCCTCATGTATCATAAGCTAAATGCAAAATTTATGAGGTTTAATCCAATTCAGTCCTAATTTAGTCATAAAACTCTTTCTCATTTCAATATAAAGTTTGACATGTATTCATATTTTTATATTTATATTTTGTAGTTTGTCTGTTTACCACAGTGGCATTGAAGGAAGCTTCCTTAACATCTTCCTCCACATGGTTTATGCACACAAAAACATTCTTTTATCTTTATTTTCTCTTTATGTATAAAAATCAAAGTAATTCATTATTGCAGTCTGAAAAAGTCTAAACTTCAGTGTATGTCATCAATGGTTCTTTCAAAATAAGATAACATTGACTACACCCCATAGCACCATTATATGACATTAGGCACTTTAGTGAATTACAGTAACTTTGGTTCAGAAAGAAATGGTTCCTCATTATATTACTGTAAGAAAAGTCTTTCAAGGAAATTGGCCAGGAAATATCTGGACATACTCAAAAATGCACTGAAAATGCACACTCTTTATAAAACCACCAGGTGTCAGTGTGAACATTCAGTCAGTAGCACAATCAGAGCTGTGGCTTTCAGACAAAGTGCTTCTATTTGTATACTTTAACATGTATATTTTTGCAAGGCTGAGGCACTTTATCCACCTCCCAGTTGGTTATAGTGCCTTCTACTCTTGAGCAAACAAAAAGCCTAAAGTTTTGATAAATTGATAATACAGTGGCAGTGGAGGCACTGGGAGCTGGGGAGTTGTGGGTTCCTAAAACTCCATTGTCTTATGTGAAATTTAATGAAGCTAAAAGTTAAGCAATTCTAGTGTTTTGTTTTTTGCTCCAGTGTGCTGAATCTTAACATAATACCAAATGTCACTTGGTTTGTCATCTAACTTATCTTGGGGAGTAAATGCAATAATTATGCCTTCTGTTAAATTGATATATGGGTTGATTTGCCATCGTGGATATCAAAACACTTTTTATACTCATAAATATGGAAAAAGAAACACTGAAAAGTATTGTTTTTATGATCTGCGGTAATACAAGAATGCTAATGTCCCTATAGAAGGACTCACATAATGCTACAATATATCATGAGAGTAAAGAGCTAGGACCAGCACCAAGGACTCAGTAAGCTTGTTGAGCACTGAGGGATATAAAAGAGAGTTGAGCATGAAGGAAGGAAGCCCATTTGATTATGCAGCACTTTCCCAGCGCTCTGATTCTGAGAGGACATTGATTTTGGCTTACTTCTTGCTGCAGGATGTCGCTCATCTGGAGGCTAATGTGGCCCCATCCAAGACAAAGACTACAGTAGGATATGGAGGGCAAACACAGAATATGGGTCACCTTTGCCTCAGTTTGTGTTCTTAGGCTGAACCAGAGGGGTCCAGCCTAGTCTGTCTCAGGGCTGGACATATTGTAGATATAATGGATTTATTTATTTATTGGATCAACAATATGTGATTACTTTTCTTATATATGCATACACTATATACAGTTCTATGATATAAGAACAGATTATGCCCTTCATCATAAAATGTTACATCTATAGTGAGGAATGCCAGATATGTCTTATTTATATTTAACGTACCCATAAGAGGAGCTTTTCCAAAGGTTGAGACAAGACAAGAAGAGTGACCATAACATAAGCTATTCAGCTCAAACTGTAATGGTGTCTTATTTCATACTAGGGAGAATCTTCATCCATGAAACCCTGGGAGAAATGAAACATTTCTCCACATGTTATGGTGACACTGTCCTAAATAAACAGCTTTAAAGACCAAAATGGGCACCTGAAACACCACAAATGATTTGTGTACCTGAAACGCTTTATTTTTTACTCCTTGTTTGAAGTAAGGGCGAGTCCGATTTAAAAGAAGAGAGAGTGCAAAAATGTGCCCTGCAGTTAACTCTGCTGTCCCGAGTGATTTATTGTAGCAGAAGGGTTTTAACATCTATGTTTAACATTTGAGAAGATCCCAAAATGTGTTTCAAGTAGCTGACATCAGTCTCTGGGAAACACATATGTCAGCCTGCTCTCACCTGACCCATGCACATGTCAGAGAACAGCCACTTGGCTCCATTTTAAAATTGATGTAACAAATATCTGTGGAAGTGAAAGCCTTGTGTCAGAGTGGCCTAACAATGATGATCATACAAGTAATATTTATGCCTGTGGTCATTTCCTTGCTGGTCAAGGGCTTTTGACTGTGTCCCATAGTCTTTATCAGCCAGTGGGATTTGCTTTGTTCATGCAAAATAAGAGTCAAACAATTGTTTGGACTTAAACTCTTAGGCATTCTGGTCCATCTAATCCAGACAAAAGCTATGAAACAAGCAAGCAAGTGGACAATGATTTGAAATAATTTTTGTTCAAAATGGTTTTCCTAGGTGGTTCTCATTTTATGCTTGTGATTCCCACTTGGCGGAACCTTTGACGGACTGCTGT